CCTCGGCCTCCCAAAGTGCTGGGATTACAGTCGTGAGCTACCGCACCTGGCTAGTATTAACTCTTAAATGTTAAACACTGATTCCTGGGAACAGTTGCCTATTAAAATATTTCAAATACATGTATTGAGCTCAAACTTTATGTGGAGTACTTTGCTGGGCAATGGTGATAAAAAGGTAAATAAGGCCTGATCCTCATCCTCAAGTGACTTACAAATCAGATAAGAAAAGCAATATGATTAGCAAGGATGAAGGTTTTTATGTGATGCAACAGGAAAGGAGATTTGAGAAAATCATATTGTGAGGTCTGGCAAAGTATGTCTGGACAAGTGGCTATAAGTACTACTGCTGAAAAAGAAAGAGAACTGGATGAAGAAAGAAGAAAAAAGTATCCTAGGCAGACAAGAGACTGGGAGAAGCCATTAAGGGATTAAAAATTCCAAATGTCCAGATTACAGGAAACCATGGAGACATGACAATTACATAGAAGGGATGATCCGTGAGTGCATGCGTGTGCACACACATACAAATCGCTATGAAAATTAATGAAGCTTGAATAAGGTCTATAAAGTAGGTAATACTGTTAACCAACGTTACATTACTTATAATGTAACATTGATAAGTTACATTATAAGTAACTTTTGATAGCCTCCCTGTGTTTGCATAACTGAATGCTTTTGTTCTTGGGAAATACACACTGAAGAATTTAGAAATACGGGGACATAATGTCTACAACTTACTCTCAAGTGGTTTAGAAAACAAATACTAGATAGATGATGATTGATTAGAAAGATAGATAAAACGAATGTGGTAAAATGTTAACAATTGGTAAATCTAGACGAAAGATATAAGAGGGTTTTTTTAATAGTAATCTTGCAATTTTTCCATAAGTTTAAAATTATTTCAAAATAAAGGTTTTTTTGTATTAATACTCGAAATTCAATAATGCCTTCAGTGACCTCAGGTGGTTCTAGCTGACTAGAGTGAATCATGTAAAACGGAAAGTGGTGAGCTCTGCGGACAGAGAGGCAAGCAAAGGCAAATTCCTTAAGGGCCTTGTTCTAACCTGAGAAATGTGAACTTCATCCTGAAAGCCAAGTGGAGTGTAATGAAATCCAATTCGCATTTTTAGAAAGACCGCTTTAGTAGCTTGGTGGGACCAAATGAGAGACAAGAAGCCTGGTAGGAGGTTGCCATCGTAATTCAGGTAAGTGCTTCT